ACTTTATAACATCTTTATAATATATATAATTGTTGGAATTTTGAAGTTTTTTTGTGTTGGTTTAAAGTTAGAAACTATTAAGTCGTAATAAAAATCATATAAACTTTCTAAGACTTTATTAAAAAACAATCTTAATCTTTTTATTTTCATATTATTTCTGAAATTGCAATGCAAATTGATTGGTCTTGGCATTGGGCTCATAAAACTGTCAACTATATTAATGTCCGAAGGCCGAAAAGGCATTTTCCAATCCCTCGAACCAAGAAAAATAAGGGTTTTCTTTTATTGATAATATTTTTCTGTGTGCCGGAAAGCAGGGACTAAAGACTAAGGATCTGGAACCCACCCCCCCGCCAAGTCAGTCAGCTGTAAGCCACTGAAGTGTGAGTGTGTGTGTGTGTGTCTGGGTTTGTCTGTATGTGTGTATGGCATCGCGGCTTTGTGTGCTGCGCTGTTTGTTTAGCGTTCCATAAGCTCTTAAGCTCATTTCGGTTGCGTTTTATTTGTAACTTGAGGCACCCAAACACACACACATACACACACACTCAAAACACCCATACACCCACCCACACACACCAAAAAATACTCACACCAAAGCTGACTTTATTTATTTAAAATAAAGCTGCCAAGCAACTGAAATATTGAGTCAAACAATTGCAAGACGACAGCTGCAGCTGCAGAATTAAAGGAAAATCCAAAGGGAAAAGAGCCGAAAGTAAGGGACAAAATGCTTGTACTAACTAAAGGTTAATACAAAAAGGTTGAGCAAAATGGAAAGGTGCACGTTTTATGTGATTAGAAAAGGAAAGAAAAAAAGAAAGAGTAGTTAATCCCAGCCGAATGTTATCAGAAAGCAACTTGCATTGAGAAGAATAATTGTAAGAAAAAAATCCTGAAAAAAATTTCAACCAGTGTGGTTGGCAGGGGAAAAGGAAAGTAAACTCATTTCATTAAGAAAATTATTTTCCGTGAGACCTTTTTAAAAGATGAAAGCAAAGTACGATAATGCAGTATATAAAATGATTTCTTCATTCTCCCAACATTGCTTTAAAATTAGCTTATAAAAAAATGCCTATATTCGATTATTATTCATAGAAATTAAATATAAAAAAAATAATCATATTTTTTTGTGCTTTGTAATTTTTAAGAAATTCCCAATCGCTAATTTCCAATAATTAATTTTGATCTCAAAAAATATCTTTGAAAATATTAATTGAAATCCCTAAAAGTAGGCCACAAATTAATATTTCCTTTTTATTTATGCAAACGGCACACCACGAACGACCACCACCGCCCACCACATACAACCCACATACACCCATTCCGGTTGGCGGTGCATGTCTTTGTGGCGCTTTGTGCGCTTAGTAACAACAGAATTTAACACCTTTTGATCGGCAGACAGCAAACGACCTGCGGGAGTGTCAGAGTGTAAGTATGAGTGCCAGTGCCAGTACGAGTGTGGGTGTAAGTGTGAGTGTTTGTGTAGTTATGGCACAAAATAAATTCCTGTAAGCTTTACTGAAGGGCACACACACACACAAACACACACCCATCCACACACACACACACTCACACACATGCAGAGCAAGAGACTCGGAGACTGCGAGTCCGACTTACATATGCTCGTTATTCATAAACTTAATGCCAAAGAGAGCATAATTTTCATTTTGCCAGCGTTTTGGGTTTTGTTTGCCCCGTTTTCTGGGAGAACAACCCAATGGCACCAAGCCACCCAAGAATACACTGAGAAAAATCAATGTCAATAATACAATAATAACCCATGTCAAGATAACTAAATGTGATGAATATTTAAAGAGACTTTACAATCATTTCTCTGTATTTACAATGAAATTTAATAGTAAAAAAATCATTTTATATAGCAAACTTTCTCTCAGTGCTCGACTAAGGCACATAAAAGCCAAACATTACCAAGGAACAGGCAGCAAGGTGATGTCGGCAATGGGAAAGGGGCAGGAACAGGCTGCGGGAACAACAATAAACTTGTGTAGCAGCGTCGGTAAGTGGGAATTATATAAACATATACATCAGTAAGCAAACACTCACACAACCACCGCACTACACATATACACACACACCCATACACACACTTGCAAATTGGCAGCTGTTGCGGCTTTATATCGACAGTTGAGATCGTCTTTCGCTATACACCATCACACCACACGCGGCGTATGAGTAATATGCGTAGTCGATGACCCAACTGACTGGCTGACTGACGGACGGACGGATGGCATAAGCGAATGAGATGTGTTCGTCAAGGAAACTCTTCAGCAATCGATAGGAAAAAAAAGGAAAAGAAAATCTATCGAAGGAGGTGGAGAGTTATGTGAGAATTTAATTATTTTTTTAGTTTTTCACTTGCGAGTTAGCTGCGTTTAACTTAACTTGAATTTTGTTAGAAATTTAATAACGAACCCAACGAGGTATCCCATTCCAGATTCGGGTAACTATTAGCTTAGTTATGGGCATAATACTGTGACTTAAAGGAGGAAAAAGGGAGAACCCGAATTTAACATTTTTAATAAGGGGTAAGATCACCTTTTTTGAGAAAAATTCACAAATTTTAACAATTTTAGCTGTGAATGTAGTTTTGTTGGAAATTTAATAACGCATTCAACGAGATATAGCACTTCCGATTCGGTTTACTATTGGCTTAGTTATATGCCAAATACTGTGACTCAAAAGAGGAAAAAGGGAGAAATCAAAGCTCGAATTTTCGTCAAATTTTGAGAAAAAAATACAACATTTCACTTTTTTAACCTTGAATGCAGTTTTCTTGGAATTTTAATTAGGAGTTCAACGAGGTATTACATTCCACTTTTGGGCCAATATTGGCTAAGTTATGAGAATAATACAACCACTTGAAGGGGGGAAATGAGGAAAAATAAAATTTCGCATTTTCGATGAGGGGTAACATCGTCTTTTGTGAAAAAAACAGATAAAAATTAACAATTTTAGCTGTGAATGCAGTTTTGTTGGAAATTTAATAACGAATCCAACGAGGTATTCCATTCCACATTTGGATCATTATGAGCTTAGTTATGAGCTAAATTCTAGCCATGATGAGCCGAAAAGAAGATAAATCAAAACTCGCTTCTTTGTAAGGGGTAACACCATCATTTTTACGAAAAAGGCCATCAATTTTACATTTCAATGTGTGAATGCAGTTCGACTATAATTTTATTTACGAGTTCAGCAAGGTATAACAGTCCACATTTGGATCATTATCGGCTTAGTTATGAGCTAAAAACAGGCCATTTAGGGGCCAAATAAGGAGAAACCAAGTTTCGCTTGCTTTATAAGGAGCAACATCGTTATCTTTATGACAAATGGCTAAAATGGCTAAAGATCTTTAGGTGTGAATACAAAAGTTTTGAAAATTTAATTACGAGTTCAGCGATATATAACATTCTATATTTAAGCAATTACTTCCTTAGAATTTGAAGATTTCTTAGCCATTTCTGGACCTTAAATAGATTCAACTTGATTTCCATCAAAAGTAGTACGAATTGCCAAGATTGTCTTTTAATTATACTCTTAAGAAAATTGAATCTTGTTTAGCAATAAACTGACCGAGGATTCTCATGACTTTATGACCCCTGCTAATCTTTTTTCGCGAAAGCTTAAAGGTCTTAAGGTCAGGCACATCAGCTAAGTGGAAACTCCCCTTTTTAGAGCCCCTTTCCAAGAACGATGGGGTTGCTGGGTACCAACGCCTTAAGCCGGCATTTTAGTCAGACAAAACAAAAACGTCTTTTAACGCGGAAAGAAAATAGTGACGACGGCACCTTTAAGGCTTGATATTAAGTGATTACGTTAAGGGTTTATAAACGAGTTTATGATGTTTTTGATAAGTTAAAAATAACTTAAATTTGAAAAGAAACATTTGGAAAGTGTAATTACCCCATAAATATTTATATTCCTTTAAAATCTTTAAAATAAATATCAGCAATAATCCCTTTTTTTGGAAATTTGTTTAAATTTTAAATTGAAGATTGTTTAGTTTTACTTTTAAGTGGATTTAGGACTTTCGTCATTACGTGGATGATCTGCTTGTCGGGGCATTCGCTTGATTCGTATTTCAATTATGCATTCCGGCAGCATGACCATTGATGCTGCAGTGCATCCCTGTTCTTTCTTCTTCTCCTTTTTTTTTCTCCGCCGCTGAATACACTCAGAGGCACCCCCCCTGCCACCCCTTCTTTAACCTTATGCAGTGCACTGCAAACAGCAGGAAAATAAGGTTGTGCACAGGAGACGGCGGGTTGGGAGGGGGGGTTCAACATTTTCTGTTACATTCCGCATTCCGGTCATTAATACGCCATCAGCAGCTTGGCGAAGCAGAAATAGAACGAAGGGATGTGGGGGGTTGCAGATAGAAAGGGAGAGAGCATAGCTGGCCAGCATCATACTCATCGTCATAGTGATAGTTATAGTCATAGCTTTCGCGATTGCCACACAGCGGAAAATATAGGAACGGAAAAATAAGGTCAAAAACTAATAGAAAATCAAGAACTTGATACAGTGAGCTTCTCCATAAAGTAATTCGTTAAAATTTGCATTACAAGACCTATTAATTTTTCCCAGTGCATCATCATGGACACGTCAGGTTTGGCCTGGCCGGCTCACTTAAATTTCTTTTTTTGTTTTTGCCGTTGTTGCTGCTGTCCAGCGGACACGCACGGACGGACTGTGGATATGCAGCTGGAAAATCGACCCACACAAAGAGACTTCTGGCGAATGGCGGGGGGGAGGTGGTGTGTGAATGTGAGTGTGCGACGTCGTTGTTGCCATTTGGTCTGTGGAAATGTTGCACGCACGGTCGCGCACCTGAGTGAAATAAGATGAAATGCTAATGATGGCAAAACATTCAAATACCGGGGCTAACGCTACCCCAGATAAGCCACCGCGACACAATCTGAATTGCTTTCAAGTTTCATTTAAGCCCCAAAATCGCAGATAACTTAGTTTTTAGAGACTTTAAGATGAACTTGAAATGTTAACTCTCATTAGAAATCAAATAACTTTTTCATTTTCCCTCAACACCTTTACTTTTTTCTACTATTCTTACCCCCGCCCCCCCGCAGTAAGTCAAAAAACATGGAACGTAAGTCCTTAGCTGACGATTCATCTCTGGAAAATCAGCCTGCCATTTGTCCTGTGGAAAACTGCACGGCTATGGTAAAGCACACTCATCTCCTACGACATATGATCAGCGAACATCTGGATGCCCGGGCACGAACTTTGCCCTTTCAGCTGCGCATGCGCGAGGTGGTCAGTGGACAGAGCACCCTACTGATGTTAACCTATCGCCAGCTTATCGTTGATCATGATCAATGTTTGGCTGTATTAAATTGGTGTTACCATAACCCAATTGACCTGATGGCACCACAATTGGATCTGCCACCGTGCCATCAAGGTTTGTCCAGCCATTTGCCCGTTTTGGTAATGGTCTGCAAGACAACGTGGAAGGCTCTCTTAAAACAGAACGAAGACAAGCTGACTAACACAAGCTCTAGGGACTTAACCAACGAATGGGGCACTGTCTATATCATTTGGCTCGTCTCACCCTATACCCGTCGACCTATTTATGCAAGATTCGGCATTTTAAATAGCCAAAGCCAGTGCTTAGAACTACAGAATCGCCGAAGAATCCGTAACTTTGCTAGTCGCATGCCTATAAGTCAGTTTATCAATGGCTTGGATCCGTTCTATGTCACTATCAATGAGGAACAGCTGGATGAGCTATGCGATAGTCGTGGAAATCAGGCCTCTGTCTTTCTAGACGTTACCATCGAAGGGCCGGTGGAGTAGTCGTAAGGGGTCATAATTGCATTTCTTTTTTTCAAATTGTCTTAGTGATTATGTAGAAAACATTACTAAATAATATTGCTTATAAAAATTATTACTGAAATATATTCAAAATTCTAAAGAAAAGTCTCGTAGGAAAACTTTAGTAAAACCCCCGAACTTTGCAGTTCTAATTTATACAAATTTATGCAAATTATCAGCAAAGCCAAGACGAAAAAGTAATAAACAACTTTTGGTTGTCCCTCAGCCGTTGTGGCTCATCTGGTTTGGTTGGTTAATAAGTTGAAATCATTTTGGATTAAGGGGCGTGGCACACTTTGACACCTTGGCACAAATTTGGCATTGGTTTTATGGCCGGGACTCGCATTATTGATTCCGCTTTGCCAACTTTATTGCGAACCTTTTTTTTTTCTTTTTTTTTGGGAGAGACATCACTGTTTTTATGGCCCAAACAGACACCGGTTTCCTTGAAGCTGCAAATGTGCCATAAATTGTTGTCCTTTATGTTTTTATGTGTTGGCAGTCAGTCGCCAGTTCGGCCGCAATGGGCAGATCAAATCAGATCCGATTCAAGTAGCGAGTTTTAAGTGATTTTCCATGTTCCATTGTTGGGTTATGTGAATGATGAGCAAAAGAGCTCAAATCACTGACTATTTTGAGGTGATTTTAGGTTTACAATTTGCAAATCTTGTTAATAATTATTATATTAAATGACTAACTAAGGTATAAGGTAAGGTTATTAGAGATATCAATCAAAGCCTAATTGATCAGTTTCAGTTGGTAAAGCTTACTATTTCCCATCGAGAGAGTAGAGAGTAGAAATCAGAGACCAAGTACTATAGTTACCAGGAGGCGGCAACCCAAAAAGGTAAAGTGCGGGGAGGATGTACAAAATCTCTAGAATTTTCCCTTTCTCCTACTTTCAACTCTTAAGTAGCCAAAGAGGTAGCTGCAGTAGGAAAAGAAAAAAGAGAAAAAAAAGAAAAACAGACAACAACAACGACGACAAAAATAGTGCAAATAAAAATGTAGAAAAGCAACGAGAGTAGACAATGGCAACTGCCTGGGATGTGGGCTACTTGAGAGATCCCAATATAACGCGACGACATGTTTACGATGCATTTGTATTTGGCCATAACACCCCTAACTTTCCCCAGCCTCATCTTCATGTTTTCCTCTGCTCACATGTTGGCATTTTCATTGAGGGAGCAGCAGGACTTGCCTTGGATATAGGATATAGGATATAGGATACAAAAAAAAAGAAAAAAGAAAAAAGAAAAATACAAAACAAAAAAAGAAAGTAAAGAATCAGTAAAGCCGACGCGCAAGGATTTCAAATTCTCATTCCCATTCATTCACTAAAACCTCTGGCTGTCCGTCCGTTTTTTGTCCGTAAAAGTCTTTCGCTCTGTCTGTCTGCCTGCCTGTCCGTCCATTCGTCCATCCGTAATTCTGTCCGTCCGTTACCATACGTGTGCGTGCTCCAAAAATCTAGAGAACATCCCTTGGGTGGGGCAACAACGACAACGATGAGGACACATAAAGGCTAAATTGGACTTGAATGTGCGCCGTGAAAGACATTGGCCGGCCAATGGACAAACACTCAAGTCATTTATACCACCTATTCAGCTTTCCTCCTCCTCCTCCTTCAGACCTTGTAAAAATACTTGTATATCTGGCCACCACCGGAGAGCCTATTGAATTGGAAAACTCAATGGATATAACCATTCAATTGCCTTCTACAAGTGTATAATTACGCCCCGAAATGTTAAGGTGGGGGAATATACTCTCGTACTCGTACGTATTTGGTTATGGCCCATCTCACAATCTGAGAAACCCCGGTTATCCTTTAGCCACATCCTCCTGCCACCGGTGAACGTGTTAACACGAAGGCTGAAACGTGTGCTCTTGGCCAAGTGAGTGGGAGCCATCATGGTGAGTCGTGCCGCCTGTCAAAAGTTTCTGTTTCTATTCTGTTTCTGTTTCTGTTTGCCCAACCCAGCAATGAATGCTGTTTTCCCGGGGAGTAAGAGACCCAAAGTCAGATTTGATATCATATTGGGGGATAGAATTTAAGATAATATTAATAAAAATATTTGTCTATATATGATGATTACCTTAGAAAAGTTAAGATTTCTTAACATAAATCTCCCTCACAATATTAAAATCTACAACAATCTTCCTAACTGATTTTAATAGGTATTCCCGAACTAACTTCCTTTTAAGATAAGATCTTCATTGTTTCGGTTAGACCTTTTTGTTGCACTCAAATGTGGAGATATGTTTGGAAAACAGGCTCACAATTTCGGGACAACTCAGGCCGAGATGAAGACGCCGTCCTGCACCCCTCCCCCCCGAGGGTCTAACAAAAAGACAAACAGACGACAGACATTTAGAAAGGGGACCGGGGCCGGAGGGCTTGGGATTGTCAAGTGGGCAGCTGCCCTAAAAGGTTGTTCCAACTAAATGAGAGAGCTTCAAGGTTGTGCCTGCCAGCCATATGAGCTATGCATTTGAGTCTGAGTGTAAGTGTAAGTGTGTGTGTGTGTGTGGGAAAGCGGAGAGTTTTCCTTAGAAAATGATTTTCTTCGGACATGATTTTCTTCAGCACGAAGATAATTGAAAACTTGAAAGTAAATTAACAAGAAATTTTGAGATTAGATGAGTATTTTCAAGATTTTTGATTTGTCAATAAATTGGATATAAAAAATATTTAGAAAATTGAAAGTTTAAGTAAAGTTTAAAAAATAAACAGAAAACATTAAAGGAATAATATTTAAGAATTTTTTACCAATAATAAATATCAATCAAAATCCCAACTAATATAGAAACTTTCTTTTCAGTGCCACAAATTGTTGAACTGCCATGGGAGGAGGCTCCTCTTCGATTCGTTGGCATAATTGCAGGAGAGGACAAGACAGAGGACAGGACATGGTCATGGAGCACTTGGTTGGAGTGCTCATTAAACGGAGAATGCTTCGAAGTTCGTCTCGATGATACGCTCGAAGGCATTTAAAGCGATATGCCTCGAAAAACTCGAATCGTTTTTGAACTTTGAACTTAATGCACATTTAAATGCTGGCACTTGGTCGCAGCAGTCTGTTTGGGCCAAACTTTTCTGCTGACTTTTTAGACTAAAAGTCAAATATTTCATTTGGAAATTCCTAGCGACGAGGCGAGAATGAAATGTGAAAATTTCACCAGCCCACTTACACCAATACACACACACACCAACACACACACACACACCAACACACACACACATACCTACATGCTAGGCCATTTTTCTAACTACAGAAGCCACCCTTGAAAAACCGCCCACTTTGGCGGCTGCTTAAAAACTATAAATTAAGTTTACAACTTTTCCGCAGAAAGTTTTTTTCTATTTATATAGTTTTTTTTTTCGCCTCCCCTCCCCCATTTCACTCGTCTCGCTGCCACAGTTACTGTTATTTTCGCTGTTCTATCACAGTGTGACAAAATGGCATTGTCAGCCCGGAATTGGAATCTCCGTTTCTCGTTTTCTCCAGTTTTTCTCCAGTTTTTTCTCCACTTCTCTTCAGTTCTACATTTCTTCGTATCTCTGTGTGGTTACCAAACATTTCTCCAACTCGGGAAATGTATGTCAAGTGTTACCAAAAGAAACTTTGACATCCATCATTTGGCATCTGTGGCACTTGTTGACCTTTGCCTGCAACACGACACAAACAAGCAGCGAAAGTCGAAAGGGGCAGGGGGCTAGCAGATATAGGTGCAAAATTGGGCTATGAATGGAATGGAAAATGGTAAGAGTACGTTGGTGTATCCTTCCTCCTTCCATCTGACAGCTAATCAAAATGTCGCACAAAGTTCATTAACAACATTTTCCAGTCAATTGTCTTGTCAAGCAATGGAGCGGGCCAAAACTCTGGCAAATAGAGAGGAAAAACTGAGACAGCTAGCACATTTCTGCAAGCTATGTATTTATGTTTGCACACCTACCTGACTGGAGGGGTGGTGTGGCTGCCTTGCCCCTGAACCCCCACGCCACTTTTCCAGGTCGTTGAGGTCGGCGGCGGCTCACTTTGTTAACAACTTGGCATAAAGTTGTTTGTCTTTCACCTCGGCGTGTCGATGACATCACAACGAGGAAATGGCAAAAGGAAAATCGACGGCGCGGGGGTGAATGCTGATGGGTGAGATCTTCCAGAAGGAAAAGTGCAAATTTATTGCCAAGCAAATCAAGTAAACTTAACGTAACGAACTGCCCCCAAAGGCAGACAGAGTCGTCATTTGGTGGGACTAAATTTTCAAAAGTTTAACAGCTTCTACGGGAATCTTTCCTTCCATGAATCTGATACTATATAGCTATAGCTATGACTTTTAAGAAAATTAACTAAGAGTAAAAAAAAGATTCGTGAAAAATTCGTAGCTCGATTGTTTTCCATCATTGGGAATGCAATTTAGACAACATTTCGCAGAAACTATCTTCATAGTTTAGTTCAGTTTTCCCATAAGGCCAAGCCAAGCCAAGCCAAGCCAAAGCCATCACTCTCATGGAGTTTTCCTCCATTTCCAAATTGAATTTTCCTACGCTTAGGAATCCAGCGAACTAACCGTCGGCCAAGGGTGTAAAAATCAATCAAACAAAACGGACTGACACTTGGACGGACGATTAAAGGAAATGGGAGATGCGATGAGGGAAATGCTTGAAACGGCAGTGGAGAGGTTTTGGCTGGAAATTCGATATGCAAGTAAACGAAAACCAGACTTTCGGTAAAGAGACAGATGGAAAACCTTATCGATGGGAAAGTTAGAAGGGCGGGGTTGCTGGGTGGTTCGGAAATAAGTGGAGATTCTGTCATTGTTTCGGTCAAACGCACAACAACAGAGCGTTAAATTCACACAAAACGAGCCAAGATGAGTCCGATTTTGATTCCGAACCTAAGGCCTTGGCTAGTCATTCGAGCAAATCCTTGAAAATGTCCAAAAAACAAAAAAAAAACAGAACAGAAAACTAAAATAGAACTTGGAACAATGGCGATATCAGAGAGATATGGGAAAGAGGATTTTAAAATAGCCCTGAAAGGATATGTCACGTAGGCCTGTTTATAGTTCTTCCAAAATATTTTTATGTTAAATTTTAAATCTAAAAAAATCGCTAAAACTTAAACCCTTGTTTAAAGTGTTAAACCATGAGTTCTCCTCAAGTCTTTAGCACAGACAGACTCTGTATTCAAATTACTTCTTGGCAACTGATTTTCTAATTGGCATGGCAAAAAAAAATAGTGAAAACTGGAAAAGCGGTGGAGTTTGTAGAACTGATTAACTTGATTTCTTCCCTTTTTTTCCCAGCCACTTACCCACTTCTTTTATTTCTGTTTTTCTTTTTTTTATTCGCCAGCAAAATGGCAAAGAGAATGGCGAATGTGTGAGTGTGTATGTGTGTGTATGTTTGTGTATGTGTGTGTATGTGTGTGTATGTGTGTATGTGTTGTATGTGTATGTGTGTGTGTGTGGGTGGTTGGGCTAGACCAATATTTTTATGCAGGCCATTAGCAGCATAGATTATTTTTGCATATCAAATGGCCAAAAGGAGTTTTTTTCCCCTGCCATCCTTTTGCATTTCCCCTCCTCATTTACCCCTCTCCTACACGCCCCCTACGCCTCTAACCGAGTGAATGAATCCTTCAGAGCGGAGGACACGCACAAAAGCGCAAGCAAGGCAAACAGGTCAAGGATATTATGCATATGTGAGTAGGCAAAACGAAACAAAAAGGGGGTGGTTTTTGGGGTTGGATGGCTGACTGGCTGGCGGGCTGACTGGCGGGCTGGCTGACTGGCGGGCTGGCTGGCTGACTGGCGGGCTGGCTGACTGGCTGGCTGGCTTAAATGGGCGGTGGTTGGATAGTGCAGCGGGAGTTCACAGAAAGAGAGACTGGAAAGGGAAGACCATCATTTCGGCTGCCATTGTCACCATCAGTACGTCTGCAGCGTCATCTTCATCTACAACGTCATTGTTGTTCGCCACTCGAAAGTCGCACAAATGAACGCGTAATTGTTTGCACATGAATACATTGAGTAAATATTTGCAAACACATTCAGCATTCCACCGGTTTCTGTCTACCTCCCGTTACCTCCCCCTTCTGGCATTTCCCCTTGATTTTCCAAAACGGGCTCTTTCTGCTCCTCGTCGTCTTTTCCTCGACTGCATCCTGAGCCGAGCTGAGCCATCATCATTTGCATGCCGGGGCAAAAGACTTGAATTGCATTGCCAAGTCAAAGAAGGCCTTAATCTGCTTACCTTGCCTCGGTGACATTTCTTTTCACATCTCTGCAATGCCGTCACTATGCCCCTCCCTCCCCCTTAACGATCCCACGCCCCATGCCCATTTGCAAAGCAGAAGCCAGCAGAAAATGGAAAATCGCTGGAAAAGTTGCTTAGCTTGGCAGGGCTTTGCTTTAATTACGGCATCCACCGACTTTGAGAGCATAAACAAATTGCAAATTGTTTATGGCATGCAAATTAATCAAATCTCTTTCTCAATTAAGCCTAGCCTGCAAGCCAAGAAGCTCAAAACCGATGGCATTGCAATGGGAAATGCTGGAAGTGGTAGAAATGGTAGAAATGGTAGAAATGGGAAATATAAGGATGGAAAAAAAGGAATATATATATGAAAGAAAGAAGCACTTGAAGGATAGGCAAAGTGAAATCGACAGATGGCCCAGACCCAAAAGAAAAACATTGAAAAATAGAAAAATATTCCAATGAAAGGGCGCCGGCATTCGGCATAACTCATGTAAATGTATACACAGGAAAATTAATACTCGGTGAAAGCAATTTAAAGGTTGTTCAAGATTTTCAACTTAAAAAAAAAAGGAAAAACAATCCTTCAATAGATTAAAACTATAAATGCTGATCAGGGATGTTCGCTTATAAGCAATTAAACTCCCTCAACTCAACAATTTGGAGCTGGAAAACTGCGAAGCTGGGGAGCTGTGAAGCAGGGAAGCTGGGAAACTGCGAAGCTGGGTAGTTTCAGTTTGCCAGCCCAAAGGGGAGCCAACAACAACTCATGTAATTGAGTGTAAACTTGTCAGAGCATTTATTTAATGCCTAATCAAGTGATGTATAACACATGACTTACCCACTTCGCCACCTCTCTCCCCATCCATCCATCCATCCATCGAATGCCTTTTCTATACAGACCAACCATGCCTGCCCATAGCAGTTAGTTACACCGATGGGTGGATGGGCGGTGTTTAAGTTGAAGTGTCAGTTGTAGTTGCTTGTCAAAAGTTGTGTTGTCCAATTAGCATAATTTCTTGTCTCAACTTTAGCCCAAAATGCAACAGATACGGGGATACGGGTTAAGGGATATGGGAATACGAGATAAGGAAAGTATCTACGGACATATCTAAATTGCCGAATGGCCGGAATTCGCTTAAGGTTACCTCCCCTGCTCCCATTCCCATTAAATCGTTCATACTCGTTCTCCATTCCATTAGGAAAACTTATCCTTGGCTGGATGGCGTTTTCTGCTCAGATGGATACACGCTCATTAAAGAATAAATTGTAATTATTTTAGATGTGCCAGCACAACAATTAATCATTCGGATCTTGTTGGGATTATGGGTGGGTGCTAGCGAGTGTGTATGTGTGTTTGTGTGTGTGAATGAAAGTATCTGTGAAACAGATTCGCTGGCTGGTTGGGCCACCCAACAGAACTGAAACATTCCAAAACAATCTTAATTTGACATCCTTTTGGACTTGGAACTTAAGGAATATCTAAAGATATGAGTTTTAGCCTTTGTAAGATTGCATCTTTAAGATACTTCTTGGGTTTATCAACAGTATTGTATAGATTTCTATCTATTTCTATCATATTATATAGCTCTATATATCTGTTTTATCAACATTTCTTATATCCCAACCAATTTCTTAAGTTCTCATTTTCACCATTATAGAAAATTTAGCAACCATCCCAACCACCCTCTGACAACAATTAATCCCGCTTGAATGCCCATAAACGTTTTTCCAAAACTAGAAAGAGAAAAATCAACAGCTGGCGAAGAGAGAGCCAAGGTCGTTTGCCGGATGCCTGATGCTCTTTAGTGCGGGGAAAATCCCAAGGAAAAACTCACCACAACGACGAGGATTTTTGCCGAGGCAACGAGTTCAACGCACGAAGCTTTTACGTGCGGCATTCAGTCTCACGTTGAACTCTGCTGCTGTTTGTTGTCAGCCGGCTGGTGAATTAACCCTTTTAGATCACAGAAGCCATCCGATTTGGCCAACTGAGCCATTCAGCCGCCAAGCCGAAGGACGAAGGACCACGACCACGACCACGACCACGACAATTCGCGATGTGTTGTTAAAGACCAAAGAAACCAAAAGGCCAACCTTTTTAGAGGTCTTAAAATATGAAAAACAAGTGTCCCAGACGCGATCGCGTGACGTTAAACGTTTGAGTGCCGGGAAAAACTCTTTAAAAAAAAAATAAAGAAAATTTCCAAAGAAAAGAAAGAAATGAAAGAAATGAAAAAACAGCTGAAAAGTTAGCTGATCTCGGTGCGCGCTTTTCCATTATTTACGTCCCCCTTTATTTTTTTTTTTTTTGTTTGTTTTTGTTAGCCGGCACAACGCTCAAACAACACACACATACATACATACATCTATATATATATATATATATATATATATAAATATAATATATACAGTGCTAATGATGGTGATGAAAATTCAATACCAAGTGAAGAAAAATGCAACAAATGCTTGCGAAATGAAAAATTTGTCCACACAAGTGTGAAAAACCGAAAAGCAAGAAAAATCTGATAAAACTGAGATAATCAGCGAGCACAAGCAAGCTTTTAGCACAAGGCAAAGCCAAAGCCAAACCCAACAAAACAAAACAAAAAAAAAAATAATAATAATAAAAAAAAACACCCAATCAACCAAATAAGCTGTGGGCGAAAGTGCTTCGAGAACGGTTAGTAAACACAAATTGTTTGTTTTTCGTGGCTTTTTCGTGTGTTTGCCTGGAATTGGGGACTATTTTCTTAGTGGCTGATAAACACAGAAAACAACAACAGCAAGAACAACAAGCCAATAGCATTGGGGTTTTTCCCAATTTCCCAATTTCAATTTCAATTCTCATTCCAAAACAAAATACAAGTGCCATTCTCCCATACATAATCCACCTGATAAAGTGGACTTCTTGGAAAGCGGCGTTAAACTTTGCTAGAAGTTTTTATGATTAAGATTAAAGATTAAGTGGAGTTGAGTTTTGGTTTTAATTTATTTCCTATTTATGATTGGATATTTTATAACTATAAAACTAAATAGGAAATTGATTTTCTTGATGCTTGTTTAAGCCTTTAAATGATATCTCCTAACATCATAAGACGAAAAGAGAAAGCAAAACTTGTAGATTGCCTCAAGAAACTGCCTTACATTGTCTTAAAGAAGCTAAGTAAATATTGTTTAGCACTTAAACGAAATCTCTCAATGCCTTAGCCTTTCCTCATGATAAATTCCAATCCGGAAAATCATTGGTCAAAGCTCAGACTCTTAATCTTGGCAACCCAAAACGATGACAGGGTTACCCAGGCTAATCAATTCCGGCAAAAGGACCCCCCCCTCTCTCTCTCTCTTTCACACGAACAACCAGTTGTAAATCAGTTCTTCATAAATAAGAAAGTGTTGGGAAATAAGTGACTCCATCAGGCACTGAAAACTATCCTTGCTCGCTCCTTGCGTTATGCCAGCAAAGTGTGACAAAGCGAAGGGGGACAAGGACAAGGACCTACATGATTTATAAGGCACATTAAATTGAATATTCAACATAATGTAGCATTTAAATGACCCACGCACAGCCCATATATATGCATATACATCCTCGCATTCTAAGATAAAGTGGCAAAAAGTCAGACTTGAAGGTCAACGGCAGCGGTTTCCCTTAATGGCTGACTCTTTGGCATATTGTTTAAATGCAAAAATCGCTTAAAGTTTAGCCAGCGATTGAATTTCCACTGTTACCAAGAAAAAAATAGTCAAGAAAACTGCCAAAAATATTCGCACACTTTTCCAGTGCGTGGATGAGTGTATGAGTGTGTGTGTGTGTGAGGGAAAGTAATTTACCAACACAGTGACAGCGAAAGCATCATAAATCACACGTTTTGCCCAACTACAACTACAGAAAGTGACATTCGCTGGGGGGGGGGGCTTGTTGTTGGGGTAAGGGTACGCAAAACAAGGCGTACATTCTGGCTAGGGGGCGTGGCGCATGGCGCGTTACGTGTCCAGGTCAAATGTCAAAAGTCAGCCAATTTGGGCAACATTTTGACAGACACTGCGCTTAGCCGCCGGCTGGCTGTTCTTCATCATTGTGCTAACACCACAGAGCCAAACCGATTATCGCAAGGGCGTGATGAGTTACTCACATCGTATGCCTATGGCAGAGTTTTACCAATCTTTCCAGATTTTTTTCATCTCTCTGATGATCAATTTACAAATCAAATGATTGTATTTTATGAAGACTTGCAGGTAAAAGCTTCTTCTGATTACTATTTCCCTGCTAAAATGTAATCAAAATTATATTTTCACGAAATTAGAGTTCCCTAAAAGTTCCCCAAAACTTTATAACAAAGTTGGAAAATATATTTTGAATTCCCTTTGGAATTGTTTCTCAACTAGCTGGCACTTCAATGTTCTATTAAAATATTAATACCATTAAATTTAGTCATCACACTGCCACATATTCAAATTTTAACTTTTCCCTGGACGAACTGGCTGCTTGGGAATTTCATTTAAAAGTTAAAACTTTGTCTATCAGTCATCAATTTTGAAGTGCTTTCAGCGTGTGAATCTAATTACTAACTTATATTACATGCTTAACTTTACAAATCCAAGCTATTAATTTTCAAATATATTTTTCCTTAAACGTTTGCCTTAACTTTCGAATGACACTCTCATCTATTTAGCAGAACAACAACTTCTAGCCGAGATCTAATCACTCCATGTCAACCCCTCTTGACCCGCAAAACATATTTCCCTGGCTATGAATTTATGGTTTGCCTTCCTTTTTCCATAAAAATGTATGGCCCTGGGTTAACAAGATGTTTATAAAAATGATATTACGACTTACCTAAGCAAACACGAGGCGACAGAGGCGAATAAAAAGGGAGAGGAATGTGGACTTTTGAGGATCCAAGGCCATTAGACAAGGCATTAATCTAATCATATGAGTTCCTCTGCTCTGTGTCTGTGTGCCAAAAATCATGAACTCAAAAATGCGGGTCCTCAAAAAAAAGAACAAGAGAAAATAAAGGAAAAAAACACAACACCAACACCAACACACACGCAGGGAAACATTTGCAAGTTGATTTATAAGCGCGCTGATGTCAGTTACGTGCAAAATGGCAGCAAGTTTTTGGCCCACGCACGCACTCAATAATGTTGCGAGCATGGGTTAAAAGAGGTTAAAAAAGGGGGGGAGGAGCACAGCCAACCCAACTGCTTTTTTTTATTATTATTCGGCAGGTTGAAAGGTTACTGGCGAGGATTTGCCAGAGCAACGCTCGCTGCTACCATTGCGCAAATTGCTTGCAACATTCACCCGCTCCTCCTTTGGCTCTGCCTTGGCTTTTATAAATCGTTTAGACACCAACTCCATTTCCCTGATTTTCCATAGCCACCCCACGTTTTGCCTTCTTTTTACCTGGAATAACAACAGAAAAGCTGTGGCGACAAGTCGAGTCAAAAGAAGCCCGAAAAACAGGAAGCCACTCCCGTTCTCATTCTCAATCCCACTGCTTTCTTTTTTTTTTGCTTTTGCCAGGCGCCACTCAAAACACATCCATCAACAGCGTATTTATATGCGAGGCAAAAGGTTAAAGGTGTTTTTCTTCTTTTTTTTTTGCTTGTTGCTTAACTTTTTTTTTTTTGTACTCCTTCTTATTCTCTGTGCGAGGAGCCAAAGGAGAGAGAGACAGAGAGAAGGCGCCTAATTGTCAGGGACTTTGCTTTGGCTTCAGAGCTTGTTTGGGCCTTGCATACTTTTGTGCGCTCGTCGCGTAATGAAGATAATTGCTGCTAAGCGGATCCTGCAGGATTTCTGAGACACCTCCGCCCATGGGAAGCCCATCTCGCGACGCCCATTCATAAAATCCACAATGTTGCTCTCCTGTCTGGGGTGCTGGTATTTTTCCCTGATGCCAAAAGGTGGCCCCGCCAGAGGAGCTCTCATTTATTTCAATTTAATTTAGACCTTGCTAATTTCAATGCATTTTCTTCAGTTTTCAGTTTTGGTTTTTTTAGTGCTATTTCTCGATTTTATGTAGAAATAATATTATTAACTTCTTTAGCTTTTTCCCGCTTAAACTCTTCCTTAAGTTCCTTAACTTAAAGCCAACCAATTTTCAAAGAAATTCCTTCGTAAGCCGTTTAAGAATTCACATAGCTGCAGCTGCTGCTTTACTATTTTATTTCCCATTTCCCTTTCTCTCCCCACTCCCCCTTTTTTATTTTAGTTGCTTACTCATTTCGCCGTTTTTAATTTGCTCGGAACGAAGGCCTTCCTTTTTGGAGCGGCATCTCTGGTTGCTTTAGCGCGAAGGACCTGCATTAATTAAATTCTTTCAGGTGTTAAAAGGTGTCGAGTCTGCAGCTATTGTTAGTTAGTGCAGGACCGAACGGTGAGCGGTCGGAGATGGGTGTGACCGGTGGGTGTGGCTAATTGGTAAATGCTCTCAAGTGCCCCGGCTAACGAGGCGTATGCGTAATGCGAACAAAGTCAGAAAATCAAAAGAAGAAAAAGAAAAAGAACCAAAGGCAGGGAGACTGGGGCGCCCCACTCATCTCCATAGATCACTATTTGAGCTCTACTAATCTCGAACATAAATCCCAGCTGAGTGGAGAATTTGCTTTGCATACATTAGGATTACCATTCAAATTTGTTTCTCTGTTGATTATTGTGACAGACTTTTAGCATTTATGACCAACAGGTACCAGATAGTTCTTTTCCCTCTTCAGTTTTCTTAAATTTCTTGTATTTATTTATATTTTTTCCATGCCTATTTTTTTTAATTTTACTTCACTTTTTTCTTGCTTCATTTGTTTTCTGTTCTTGGTCTTCTGGTCGTTGGTCTCTGTTCCCTGGTCCCTGGTCTCCCGTTTGTTGGCATAAATTTATTGTATTCACCCGCCTCACGCATTTGCATAAATATTTTAATTTGCATTTCAACGAACACGAAAAGCGAAACGTAGCCAAGCCATAAAATCCATATATACAAGTATATATAGTAAAAGATATATATAATATATATATATAAATATGTAAATATAGAGAAAATATATAGAAAAAATAATAATCAGCAGAGATCTATATATGCCATCAAGGAGTTACAACTAGCTAGTGATTTTATTTATTTAGATATATTCACGCCCACATCAAAGCCACATTTGTATGCAAATTTTTAGGTTTCGTTTGGGTGAAAAAAACAAAAAAAAACAAAGAAAAACAACAAAGAAAAACCCAAAATAATAAGCATCATATTTCCTATCAAAATCAAATTTGCTTTAGGGGTATTTTCTCTCGCTTTTCCGCTTGTAAAATTAATTTTCCTTTTTTTTTTTTGTAAATAAGTTAATCTAATAGGCTTATTTCTATAGAAGACTTGGCTTACACTGTCATTTGGACTTGTCTTTTGGCTTAAATTAAGCTTTCAAATCGCTCTCAATTGTGTTTTTTTTCTCTTTTTTTCTCTGAGTTTTTGGTAAAAACTCATTTGCAATTCGCAAGTCAGTTGGTTCAATATTGACTTTGTTAAGTCTTTCGTTTTGGGCCCCCATAGATCGGTAAAACTTTGGCCAGAACATTGCGCATACGACACGTAGCCCCGTGAAAGTTTACAGATTCTTATCATAGCACAGCAAAAAAAAAGAAAAACTAAACAAACAGCCCTCGCACAGGCAAATATGTTTTCATTT